ATTTTGAAGAATTTTGTGAGAAGGGACAAAAGAAAAGAAATCAAGTTAAATGACAAGAGACTAAATATTAAGATTGTTAGAAGTAAAAGGAAGGAATATAAAGTTGGTTTATTTGATCAAGGTTAAAATAGATATGTTATCTCTGGTAATCTTAATGGACTTTTGCTAACATCAGGACTGAAATGACGGTGCTTTATGGATTTGTTTATAGATAAGAGATGGGATATGGGAAGAAGAGATCATTTGTTTATTTTAAGAGAAGGTGTTACGTTACTAAAATTGTTTATACTTGTGATGAATGTGGGAAGTCACTTCTTTATATATTTTTTTTTCTTTATTATTATTATTTCTTTTCTATTTCTCTTTCTATTTTTTCCCTTTTTTGTTTTTTTCTGCACCTTCTACTCTTTTTCTTTTTTTTAGTTTGTATTCATTTTTACTGTTGTAATTATAATCTTTAATAAAATTACTATTTAAAAAAAGAAAATAATATGCTAATCTGTGTGTCCCTTGGATAAAGGATGGCATGTATAGGAATTTAAACGTTTCCTCCTTTCAAAAGAAAATGTAGACAGAAAAATTCTTGAACACAGATAATCCTGTACAATACCTAGATTGGAAATTTCTCCATGCACAATAAGTGAGTCACAAAGTAGCCACAAACCCTAAGCTCATACCATAAACCTTCTACTCTTTTTCTTTTTCTTTTAGTTTGTATTCGTTTTTACTGTTGTAATTATAATTTTAATAAAATTATGTAAACCCTAAAAATTGGGTTGAGAACACCACTGATAAGTTACCCAGGTATATTATGTAATCACAGCCAATTATCCACTGGATCCAGCTCCAGTTGGATACCAAGTGTGAGGCATGGTCTACAGAGATGCCCAGGGTATGTTCTTACCCTGTTATCTGGGAACAGTTTGATCCTGTTGAACCTGAAGAAGTGGACAGGGCCCTCCAGACAGTCAGTGCCACCACCTGTCAACTAGATCCATGTCCTTCCTGGCTAGTTAAAACTACCTGGGAAGTTACATGTGGGTGGGTCCAGGCAATGGTGAATTCATCCTTGAGGGAGGGGGTGTTTCCAGCTGCCTTTAAGGTGCTGGTGTACCCCCTCCTCAAGAAGCCATCACTGGATCCCACCATACTGCACAATTTTTGTTTGGTCTCCCACCTCCCCTTTTTAGGGAAGGTGATTGAGAAGGTGGTGGCGTTGCAGCTCCAGAGGATCCTAGAGGAAATGGATTATCTGGACCCCTTTCAGTCAGGTTTCAGGCCCGGATCCCAGATGGAAATGGCATTGGTCACACTCATGGATCTCTGGCGGGAGTGGGATGGGGGTAGTGCATCCATCCTTGCTCTTCTTGACCTCTCAGTGGCTTTCGATACCATCGTCCATGGTATCCTTTTGGGTCGACTTGGGGAGTTGGAAGTGGGCAGCACAATTTTGCACTGGTTCTCTTCCTACTTCCAAGGTCGATCCCAATTGGTGTTGATTGGGGGCGAGAGGTCCAGCTCATGGCCCCTCCTTTGTGGGGTGCCCCAGGGTTCAGTACTCTCTCCGCTCCTTTTTAACATCTACATGAAACCACTGGGTGAGATCATCCGCCACCATGAGATGAAGTATCATCAATATGCTGATGATACCCAGTTATACATCTCCATCCCGGGTGAGGCAAGTGATGCCGTGACCACCCTTTTGTGGTGCCTGGAGGCTGTGGGGGTCTGGATGGGGTGCAACAGGCTTCAACTGAACCCTCATAAGATGGAGTGGCTGTGGGTTAATGGCTCCTCTGTATCCAGGATGTTGTCATCTTTGGTGCTGGATGGGGTAGCATTGCCCCAGACAGACCCAGTGGATAATCTGGGGATCCTCCTGGACTCGCGGCTCCTGCTTGAGGAGCAGGTGGCAGTTGTGTCCAGGAGAGCCTTTGCCCACCTTCGTGTGGTATGCTAGTTACGCCCCTTCCTGGATCAGGAGGCTCTCTGGTCAGTCACTCATGCCCTGGTCATCTCTCGGCTAGACTATTGCAATGCGCTCTACATGGGGCTACCTTTGAAGAGTATCCAGAAGCTACAGCGGGTCCAAAATGTGGCCGCGAGAATAATTTTGAGTGCCCCAAGGAGGGCCCATGTAACGCCTCTGCTCTGCGAGCTGCATTGGGTCCCAGTCTGCTTCCAGGTCCAATTCAAAATGTTGGTTATCACCTTTAAAGCCCTACACGGCATGGGTTCAGGTTACCTGAGGGACCGTCTTACCCTTGTCACATCAACCCGTCCCACCCGGTCAGGCAGGGCATGTTGCGGGTCCTGTCAGTGAGAGAATATTGACTGGTGGGGCCCAGGAGGAGAGCCTTCTCTGCTGTTGCTCCCGCCCTTTGGAACATTCTGCCCCCTGAGGTGTGGCAGGCCTGTACCCCACCAGCCTTCTGGAAAAAATTGAAGACCTGGCTCTGCCAGCTTGTGGGGGGGGATAACAACTCTACCCAATCCTGGGGGTGGCTGGCGCCTCGATGACGCTCCCTGAGTGATTGCCAATTATTTTGGATCTTTTTATTATTTATTTATTTATGTAATTTTGTAATTTTAATTGATTTTAATTGTTTTGTAAACCGCCCAGAGTCTTTTGATGAAATGGGCGGTGACAAATCCGATAAATAAATAAATAAAATTATGTTTAGGATCATAGTAGTTTTTAGATATTCACCTACTTCTTTTTAGAATCAGAATTCCCACATATTCACATTTTGGTTCCAAGATTCTCTCTCCTTTCTCTTATGACATAACAATTTCACCCTGTTTTCTACGTGTTTATTATTAAAGGGTTGTTGGTTTCAATTGTAATTAAATATGTAATGAAAAGTATTACAGAAATCAACACTTTTGCAGAATTGTAGGAGAAGATGATGGTGGGAAACTGTTTACCCCTGAAGAATACGAACAATACAAGAAACGAGTATTACCAATTCGGTTGCAAAATAGATTGTATGTGAGCTGGAGATCACCAACTGGCATGGACTGTAAACTCGTGGGTCCAGAAACACCCTGTTTTTGTTCTCACAGGTAAGGCATTCTATATCTGTACCAATGATGATGCAATCAACTTGACCAGATAACTTGTTTCTTAATAGTCATATATGTTATGTATCCATAATATGGCATTTGCTCAGAAGGAAGACTAATTCTCCAAATAATTTTTATCTTTAAAACAGAAGAGTGGGTTTAGATTTGCTGATAATGCAATAATTGAGGCAGATTTTTTTTTCTGCCTAATCTTACCAGAGGAAAATGGGTATTGTCTTAAAATCTGGGTTATTTTACCTTTGGGTTAATACATAACTGTACTCCTGAGTCTGCTGGTTTGTGCTATCAGACTCTCAGTACAACTCTTTTGCACAAAAATATAGTACATGTGTTCCTCTGTCCTTGGTTGGATTCACAAATATAAGCCAAGAGAAGGCAAATTTTTGACAGCTCATTTTCCTTTTGTGAAGTTAGAAAGGAAACCTTTTGTGTTGGAAATGTGCAGATCTGTTCAATCTCCACATTCACTTTTGGCTTTTTCAACATAACAAAATTCATGACTTTGGTTGTTTTCTTACTATGTTAATTACTGATAAATAAAATGAATGTAGTGTTGTACTGAGAAGCTCTGACTTTCTTATTTGGATTAAGGTTCAAACCAGGAAAAAGTTCATTCCAAATAATTCTACTGGGAAGGATTCATTCAGAGGTCCATACTCTGGAGGCCTCAATATTTCTAGCAACTCTCTGCCCCAACACATGTAGAAAACTGAGCAATCCAAGGGATCAGTTAAAAAATTGATGTATATTTTTTCCAAATCCAGGACAAGAGTGGAGATTTTGAAATACTGATTGACTAGCAGATTCTGCCAAAGTGTATTAGCCTTGCCTCTTTTATAGAATAATTGAATGTCTTTGAATAATAAAAGGATTACTACATATTCTAATAAGTGAGTAGTAACCAAACAGTGTGTCTGCATTTTTGTTTTACTTTTCCTAGATATAAACAACACAAAACAGACTTTGAAGTGATTCCAAAAGAACGCCCTATTTCTGTACCTTGTAGAGTGAGCCGATGCCCGTGTAAATCTTATAATTTTGTTCCTCTTAATGGTACTCAGTCCATCCGCTGTAGATGTAAGCACTTTGCAGATCAGCATAGTCCAGCAACTGGATTTCCATGCAACGTGTGTAAGTGTTCTTTGGTTAAATAAGTAATTCATATTTAAGGGTAACTACTATCCAATTCACAGATATCTTTCTTTAAATACTATCTCAGTATAACAACAATGCATATCTGTTGCTTTGGGAATGATTAAAACATTTCAAATTCTGCAATTAGGAAACTAATTTAACACTAAATATTTTTCCAGCCAACTTTAGCCTGCCTGATTAGATCTAGTAGGGAGAAACTGTTGCAAATCCCACACTTTTGGAGGTTCAGGGGGCTGAGGCAAAGAGGTGCTGCTTTTCTGTTGCAGCACCAATATTGTGGAATAGTCTCCCTGTGGAGATCTGACTGGTTCCTCTTCGTTGGTTCTCTGCAAGCTTCTAAAGACTGAGCTTTCTGGAGAGCCTCTCCCTGATTTGAGTTGTCACCATCTTTTATTCTCTCTTTTTGTGGTGTCATAATTTTTATATGGGGTTTGTTTTATATCGTATTTTTATGTGAGCTGCAGAGAGTAAATTTTGACTGCAGTGGCATACAAATATGCTAAATAAATAAATAAATAATGACTTTAAATCTGGTTAATTTGTATCATAATATGCAATATTCAAATTTGTCCTGCTTCCAGATAGGAGAGCCTCAATGTGATCTTTTTCAAGCATATGCAATAAGACTGTTTCTACTATCAGACAACTCGTTGTAGAATTAGTCCCCAACTGCAAATTATTATCTAAACAAAGAATACTGTCATGAGTAATGTTTATGATCCCAGATGTAGAAATGATTATCTTCTAATTCTTACATTTTTTCCTCATGTCTGTCCTATTTAAATAATGCATATATGCATATTAAAAGGTTTCAGCTGTAGCCATTGTTTGTATCACCAAGGCCATCGCAAGCAAAAGTGACATTGAGTGGAAACCTGTCAAACATGTAATTGTGACTTTTTCAAAATATGTTTTGCATTAGGTTCCAAATGTGCAGGGTTTCACAGTTGCTTTACTTGTGGATGTGGCCAGCCAGCATATTCTCATGAAACAATAGTGGAAACAAAAGAGGAACGTTTAGCCCAAGGAAAGCCAGTTGGGCAAGATGTCCCTTATGCTGCAATGGGGGGACTAACAGGTTTTAGTTCCCTAGCAGAAGGCTACATGAGACTTGATGATAGTGGACTAGGTAAGGATGAAATGAAATATTGTTTTTTGAGTTTATACATGATTGCTTTTGTACCTCTTGGCCAACTTACCCTATGAAGTTTGGGGGAAGATAAGCAGTGGGAGTGCTATATATTTTGCCTTGAACTCCTGGAGGAAACCGGGATGGGGTGGGGGATATACATCCAACAAATAATAAACAATGACTTAAAAACACAAATACAAGTTTAGTAGCACCATTGTGATAGCTTAATTACTGTACATGTCTAAAAAAATAAGTGCCGTGTTTCACGTAATGATGTCTGATTATGGAATCTAGTTTTATACCCTGTATTTGAACTGTGTGGCCCATCAAAGCTTATAGTTTTAGTACAAATATGCTTGGACTTTTTGGGAGGAATAAATGGGAATTGCCATACTTATTTTGATTTTATGCAGAGTTATCTTGAAGATCACCTGGAATTCTAGTAGGTGCAAAATTCTTCTTCTTGATGAATTTGAAATAGTTGTAATTCTGCATCCAGCAGGGGCTTGATCTAGATTGCTGCCTCCTCCAGCTCTATAACCGTATTAAACCTCATTTTGCACCACCATTCTGGCTCTTAATACTTGTCTAGGCCTAATTTGAACATAGAAGTGCTTGACTTTCAAACCCTTTCAGCCTGTGTTTAATGGAAACGGTCTGTCACTATGGAAACTGATATTTGATTAGGCTCTGTTTTGTTTATCTTCTGTGTATTATGGAGTGTCATTTATAGTTGGCAACAGGCCTTTATTAGAATACCTCTGTCTATGACATTCCTATGAAGATCAGTCATATCTTCTTTTTCTTTGTGCTCCTAAAACTATTTCAAATTTTACAAAAGTATGAAGTGGAAGAAGCTTTTAGGTTTACATTTTTAAATTGCTGTCCTAAATTGTTGTCCTGAAGGTATTATAATGTGTTTATTGTCTATTTTTTAATTAAATACAATTAAATGTATTGCAAATGAACTATTTTGAATTATAAAATAATAATAAAGCCATGATTTAATGAATTTTGGATGCAGCACTTCAAAATGATGGACAAGGCCATTTCTGAAGTCAGTTCAGATATCTAGGTAAGGGTAGAGGAGGCACATGGTAGAAAATAAGCAACAATAGGTATTCCTTTTACCCACCCTGGCTCTGCTCTGACCAGCACTTCCTTGTTGGATGAAGCTTATGTTTGAGTTCTTGGTGAGGTAAGGGGAGGGCAAGAAGGATGATACTGGGAATATCAATCCAGTCAGCAGGCTGGTGGGATATACTGTGTTGGGGCAGCAGTTTAGAGGAGGGAGGAAAGATCAAGCATGCTGGTGGGATATGCCAGCCTGGGAAATCAGCAGCTGTGGTGGCAATTCCTTTTCACCATCCAGGCTTCTATTCTCATCCAACTTTTTGTGCATCATCTGAATAACCTCTTTGTTCAGTCTCCAGTGTAAGAGGGAGCTATCTTGTCTCTCTCCCCACTGCACTGTGTTATATTTTCCCCTCTTTTTCTGTCTTTGGATTTGGTGGGCTCTCCTTCTACCTGTTCACTAAACTGTGCTTTTACTTTATCTGTAACTTATCAGTACATTTCAGATAGGTCCTGACACAGAAAAAAATTATCCTTCTCATATTTCATCTGTTCTATAGATATGTAAGAAAGCTACCTTACCGTACATTTTTAATTGTTGCTCCTGTTAATATTTTTATGATTGTTTTTCAGTTTAATCACAGCTTAATAACTGGTCTTCAGACCTATTTCATAATTATTTCCAAATGAATAGCAGTGTTCATTTTGTAACAAAAATGGAGTCTTGTACCTTAAAGTTTAAGAAATGTACCTTAAAGTTTAAGAAATCACATATATTACAAATATTATATATAATATAAATATTCTATTATGTTAAAAAGTTCTGTGGATTGGAATCCACTTCATCTGGTATATGGAGTATTATCTTAAGCTGGAGGTTTATATTAATATTTGGGGGACAAACTAAAGGAAGTGAATTGCAGCATGTAAACAGTTTGCTGTGATTATTAACCTTACTAACAGTGGTTGTTTTCAAGCATTTCTTGCTGACAGTTTAACCAATGATAGGATGTTTATAATACATCCAGTATAATTAACATTTTTTATTCTGATGTAAGCTGAAGAAGATAGAATTAACCCTTTTGATGAATGTCAATTCTGACCTTGATTACACTATTTTATCCATACTATCAATTTATTCATTTGTTCATCTTCTAGTATGCCATCATCTAATAGAAATGCTCTTCTATATCTTTGATAGTCTCACTGAACAAATGTTTTAAGCTAGATTTTATTCATTGGCTGTAATATTTTAATTTGTTAATGCTTGTTTAATTTTAAGGAGCACCTTCCGCTCAATTCTTAGAAGCTCCTGTAACCAACATGGATAATCCATTTTTAAAAGCATTCCAAGGTCCTTCCAGTTCCATGCAGGCAGGATTCCAGTTAACAGATGGTAATGATTTTAAAACTTCTTATATTATCTAACTGAATAGATTTTAAGTGTATTTTAAAATCTAATAAAAATGTTACTTTTAAGGAGGTACAAGTACAGCAATGCAGGCTTCCAGTTTAAGGCAAACTGAAGAAGATGACATGGCTTACTTTGAAAGACAGTATCAGACACGGGTAAGCCCACAGCATACATTATTTAAAACAAAGGCATTTATTTCCAATTAAAAATAATTTGTTGAATGGCACTTATGACACATATTAATGTGTTGATAATTAAAAAAAAATGTTGGGGTATTATAGTGACATCTGAAAATCAAATGTACTTAGAAGAAAATATCAGGACTATCTTGACATATAAAAACAAAAAAGGCTGTTTGTGCAATTTATATTGAAGATGAGTGACTTTGTTTTCCACCTATTGCTACAGTTATCTTTTATCATATCTGAAATTGAATCGTCCATCTTCTATTTCTGCCTATTTATAATTATAGAAATTCAAAACAGTACCATTTAAGTAATGAGGCTGTGCAGTCCTTCTCATTCTGTTTTGAAGAGTTGCTCTGGAATGAGATGCAGGGAGACTTTGACTACACCCACACAATTTTGGAAACAGACAAAGCTGCTTTACTGAACTGCTGACTTACTGTTTCATACTTCCATGCATTCTAAAGCACCTCTTAAATCAAATCCAAAGGATTGCACAACAATAATAAGCAATTATGTGATAATGAAAAGCAATAGAAAAATGTAACATAGTATCCAGCAAAGGAAATTTCTGATGCTGTAGGATAAGAAAAACTAGCAATAATGGGACTAGATGAAATGTAGTTTGCAGAAAACAAGTAGACCATGTTTCATGTGATTTTATATGGATTTTTTTCATTACAGTTGAAACAAGAGAAGGCAAGAGAACAGAAAGGAAAAGGTCCTATACCACCGAAGACTCAAGATCATCAATAATACAAAATACGTATTTTATTGTCATTTATAAGCATATCTCTATATTTCTCTATCCTCTATATATATTCAGTGACTATAGTATGTTTATTTTTCCATATCAATTTTGTTATATTTACCACAGTTAAAATAATATGATAGTGTGCCTTTTTTCAGGCACTGAAGCAAAATAATGCTATTCTAATTTTGCATATTCAAAAATCAGCAATGGAAAAACTGTAGGTTTCATTGCAGAAGACTACTGTGAACACTGAGAAATATCTCTTCGGAAGAGTTTTATCATCTTTGAAAGAATTTTATCATCTATATACATTTGCATTTTATGAAAAGAGTGGTTTTGTTTTCTGTATTTCAAGATTTTAAAATGTTGATAGTAATAAGGAAAAATGAATATTCATTACAGTTGAACTGATTTACCTAAAAGTAATGCAGCAAAAATGTGGTTGACAGATTATTGTATATGCATTGGATTGGACCACATATATCTGTCTTGTTTTTTTTAATAGCCTATCGCTTACTATAGATGATAACTGAAAATGGACCTTAATTTCTTATAACAATACTTCACTTTTGTTATGGACTAAGCATTTTAAAAGTCAGAGCATTTCTCATCATTTGTTGATGAGGACTTTCTAGATGAGACTTCTTAAAAATACATACCATTTCTCTTCTTCCTCTCAACAATCTTTTTGAAATGGGGGAGAGAGAAGAAAATGTAAGAGGATTGGTAATGCATATGTCACTAATTAGCCTTTTTAGACTATCCCATAAACTTCTATTCAAAAAGCAGAAACTGACACTGTACGCTGTGAATGGATAGCAGATGGCATTAATATATGTAAATGGCTCTATCGTTTGCCCCTGTAAAATGAGAGATGCATATTCAGTGTTTGAGGGAAACAGGTGAACTGTTTCAATAAAATTTTCCAGTGACAGTGCACACAATTAGGTTGTAAGTCTGAACTTAACAAAAATACAATAGAAACATCAGGGTTTTTTTGGCTTAACTATTAGCCTGGCTTCACAAGATTATATAAACTGCTTGTCTTACCTTTTATTTGGCTAATGTGTAAAAAAGGTATCTTTACACTCACTGTAGAGTTCCTTCTTAGGGCAATTCTGCACAGCAGGTTTAGGGTTCTTGTCTGCCAGAATGATACTAGCTGGAAATGAAGCTTCCTAAAAAAGTCACTGTCCAGATTTGAAGTTTTGGCAATTACACTGGTCAGGTTTCCTTTCCAGAAGAGAGTTACCACAGCCCCTGATCAGTAGATTCTCCTGCTTCTTTACCCCATCTACCCATGCCAGGAAAGCAAACAGCAATCACTTTCTTTTTTGTGGGTCTTTGGAGATGTGGTTTCCACAGCAAATAAAGTCCACCAGTTATAGAATCAGCGTTGGAAGGGCCTTAGAAGTCATGTAGTCTAGCTCACTGCAGGAGCTGGTTGCTTGTAATGAGCATTTTAATGCTCTGCTTGTGCAGAAAACCACATATCCCATTCTTGTCACTTGAGCTACAAGAGAAAACTGGCAAACTCTCATCGATTTCACTGCCAAGGTTTCCCAGTTCACTGGAATGTGTGTACAGTATGGGGGAATCTTAATACCTCTATGTCCAGAAATCTTCAAATCCCCAGCTGAATTGGGATGATTCCACTGAGGCTGAAATAAAGAGGCTAAACAAACTTTTACTGGATAAATCCTTCTATATTTTACATGGTTTGCTCTCCTGTTAAATGCCTGCCTGCCTGCCTGCCTGCCAAATACCTGGCAGTTTCAACTATTCCCAACTAGTTTTGTTTTGGTGGCACCAGGGCTGCATTGGAAATCATGGCGATTGTAGGCATTACGATCCTGAAAGCTTGCAGGCTAGCTTTGCTACTTCTGCCTGCTGATTAAAAAGTAGCCTGTAACCCAAGTGAAAAGGGATCTCTGAACTGCATTTATGTGAGACTAGTTTAAAAAGAAAAAAAGGACCCACCTTTTCAACAAGCACTGGCAAACTCTGCACAACACTTTGTGAGTATGGGAAAAAGAGGCAGTTTTACCTAGGAAGATTCTGTCTAAAGGGAGTCAGGAAATTCAGCTACCGAGGATGAAACATACACAATGTAGTGACCAGAGGGGAGGGGGCATGCCCATCATAGCATATAGTACCCAATTGGGGTGGAGGCATTTGACCACAAAGAAATGAAGGGCACAGATGGTCAGAGCAGCTTCTGGCAGATGTGGGAAAACACTACTTTCAACATGGAGCAAAGCAAGAGGGGCAGATCTGCCTTCACGGTGGGCTGGGGTTGGGTGCCTATTCTGGAGAAAAGTGGAGCAAGTAGAACACCAGGACAAGTAGGATGTGCAGATAGGCCCTTATTGCTGATGGATGCTTTCTAATCTTGTGTATGTATCCTGCTTTTTAGCTTTGCAGTTCCCTCTTTGTATGCTGGTGCAATGCAGTAATAATATTAATAAATTTATATGCTGCCCAACTCCCAGTGACTCTGGGTGGTTTTACACACCATCTTGCCACAAAAGCAAAATAAACTATTGGGATTATTTTGAAAGTGAAGATAAAGACTCATCGTAATACAAAACTCCATTGTCTTAAGGGGTTTCAGCCCATTTCATTATACTGTACATAGGATCCGACTCTTTAAAAACAAATATAAGCACGCTAACTTTTGAATACGTTAGGAGTCTTACTACTAGGATTGTGTTCAAAATGCACGTGCAATTCTCTACCTACCTAGTCGCCTCTTAAATGTGCAAGACTTGCAATCTTCCAAGCTGAGGCTTTGCGTATTTTGTTGGGTCTGTATTAAATCCCAATTGCCACCCCCTACAGCCCCCGCCTGCATTACGCTTGTAGTCTTAGCAGTGGTCACTTTGTGCGCGGGGACCCTCGAATACAGCAGGCTTAACTAAACGTTAATGTAAATGTGTCTCAACTTGAAAATATTAATAGACCCAGGACGTGCGGTCACGCACACAAAACCCGCAAGTTTGTGCAGATCTGACAACAGCTCTTTGGTCGTTAATCTCCCGCGCAGGTTTAGACTGGTTGAGGCTGTCACGTGGCTGTGTCAAGAGCGCGACTTGGGCTGTGCGGTGCGTGCGCCTCGCTCTCCCGTTGCAGGCCGCGTTCTGTCGCCTTCCTGTTATCTCTTCGAGATCTTAATTGGCCCAGTTATCGAAACAGAACGTTGGCTGGGTCTCCGAGGCAGGGAAAGGGAGCGCGCGAGGAGGAAAAAAATCCCAAAAAGCAATTTCAACTGATTCGCTAATGGTGGAATATGATTTTAAAAAGCTGGGACCTTAAGGGCCTTCTCTGAATCGACGCGTTGTAAGAAAAGGAGCGCGAAGAGGCCGGCTATCTGTCGCACCGACTCTTGCTGGAAAGTGGACTCCGTTAATAAATACTGTAGTATTTAACTTTTATGTGTGGTTAAACAAAAACGTGGTCAGTTGGCTAGTAAGTCGGGGGCCTCAACCGGCGTAAGTTTATGGTTTAGTGTGTGCTGAAAAGCCAGGTAGTTGAGTTAACTTGGTTCAAGGAAGTGTGGGTGTGTTCCTTACAAAGATTACACGAAATGCCTATTAGCACTAAATTTCAGGAAGCGCATCTCCTGGGATATCTGCAGCACAACCATGTGGAATAGGTCAAGGCTACCATCTTAATAATTTATTAATATTGTTAATTATATTAAGATAGGCAATTGGGATGATGCAGGTGTAGTACCCTGAGTTAAAAAATGACGTAAAACTGAAGTGGAAATTTTGCAACTTTACCTTATTCAATGTTCTGGGATTAACTTTACCATTTTCATTCTTGCAGCATTCATCCCAAATTTATATTGTTTTTAGATTAGTGAAATAGAAGCTAGGCAGGATTTGTCTTTACCTCTGTGACTCTTGTATCCATAGAAAATAAGATGGTAATTCTCTGGATAGTTAGCTTTAAATTGAAGTAGGTTGGGGTAATTTTTAGGACAGGGTGGCTAAAAGTAGATCTGGCCACTGATGAATCTGTAGATGAGTTGTAGTAGATCAAGATGTAGTGTAGTGGTTGAAGTCTTGAATTAAGAGCAGGGAGACCCAGGTTATAATCTAGCCTCAGCCACAGAAGCTCACTAATCATCCTTTTTCAGCCCAACCTACCTCACAGGATTGTTGTAGGAAAAACAGGTGAAGGGAGTGTTGCATACACTGCCTTGAGCACCTGAATGAAAATCAGTCTTTAAATCTAATAAATCAGTTACTTGATTGTCAATTGTAGCAATTATACTATGGAAATAAAATAAGTAGTGATCTTGTACATGGAAGATTGTGTTAAGAATGAAGCAGGTGAGATGGGGATCAGCATTTCCAAGGCTGGAAAAAAAGATGATGTCAACAGATTTCAGATGACTTCCATGGCATTACATGGTTTGCAACTAAGGTGGTCCCCATTTTCAGTCATTGGTGAAAGGTTGTCCCTTAGGGTCAAAAACTGTTTCAGTGTGCCTGCCACAAGCAGTAATTTAAAGTAGCAGGATAAATTTAGGAAGCTGCTTTTTATTCACAGCATTGGCTTATTTAGCCCTCTATGGCAGTGTTTCTCAATCTTGGCAACATTAAGATAAGTGGACTTCAACTCCCAGAATTCCCTAGCCAACATGCTGGCTGGGGAATTCTGGGAATTGGTCCATCCATCTTTAATGTTGCCAAGGTTGAGAAACATTGCTCTATGGTTTAGGGATTGGTAGCATCTCTAGGACCCTCTGGGCATAAGTTTTTTCCCAGACCCATACTTCTTCCTTAGAGATGCAGTTTGAACTGCTTGCCTTGGTAATCTTAGAAATCTTGTAAAACCAATCTTACCTCTTTAGAGTTGTATAGTTTGGTGGGTGGCCAATAAGGCTCAGAATCTCAGATCATTTTCTTCATTGTTTGTAGCTGGATTTGAGGGACAAAATACTCATATTTACAGGTCCCTTTATTTAAACTTTGATTTGATTGAAATAAAAACAGTCACTTTACTTTTTCAAGCAACGTAATGATGAGAAGACATGAACTTCCTTTATACATGTTCATGTCTCAGTAGCCTCTGCTCCACACCACCTAGATGCTTTTCTCCTTGCAGATATTTACTCTTTGTTAGATTCATATCCCATCTTTCCTCCAGAAGCTCAAGACAGTACATGGAACTCTGATAATATCTGCCTGTTTGATCTGATCTGGCAGAGTTGCATGCTTTGGGTTCCTTTGATTAAACAGTATCATCTACTGGGATCCCAGGAGCACATCTTCTCTGTAGCAGCACCTGCCCTTGGAGCAAGATTTCCCTTCGAGATCTGGATGGTCCCCACTCTGCTGTTGTTTAGAAAATCCATGAAGACCTGGCTCTTCACCCAGGCCTTTGGTGAGGGAGAGCGAGACCTCCTGCTTCGTTTCCATCCAGTCTCTTGTTCTTGCCATTTTTTATCTTTTTTTCCCTTCCTTTTAATTGGTTTTATTGTAATGTCCTTGTTGTGATTGTTGTGAGCTACCCAAAGTCATTGGTAGTCAGGCAGCATATAAGTTTAATAAAATAAATAAGTTTGATGACTAAAACTCCTTCCTCTGATTTCTCCTCATAACTGTGAGATAGCAGTTGGCTCAAAGTTCTTGACTGAACTTTCAAGGCTGTGACTGACTGTGAATTTGGGTCTCTCTGCTCCTAAGCCAACATCTTAAGCAGAGTTCCATTTGTACAACATGCCAAGCTTGTTACTTTTAACCTTGCTTTAACTTTTGTGTCTTTACAAGTGGAGCAAGCCCAGCCTATTTGTTTAGTTTATGGCTCAGTGTATTGCCAGCTCGGAAAATCAGTTTATTGAGTATTCAAATTAAATTTATTGCAGGAACACAATCACTAAATCATAAAATAGCTGACTATATTTTAGCTTAGCGTGTTGTATGATTAATTTGTAGCTTAGGAGGTCATTCGGACCGAGAGAGTTGGGTTAATTAAGTGAATTATGATTGTGTTAACCATGAGTAAGTGTGTCATACAAATGTAACTTCCCTCAGTATTAGGGCTGGTTAGGAAAAGGATTGAAAACAACTCTGACAAGGTTATAGTGCTCTTGTATAAAATCTAAGGTGTGACTGCATTTGGAATAATACTGTTCAAAAACTGTTAGTTGTTGCATCTCAGAGTGAATACAGTAGACCTGGAAATAGAAATATAAATGATTAGGAATATGAAGCACCTTCCCTATATGGAAAGATGAAAAACTTCATGGCTTTTCAGTTTAGACCAGTGTTTTTCAAACTTGGCAACTTTAAGTTGTGTGGACTTTAGATTTAGATTCTAAGTGCATCTGGAAGGAACTATGTTGAGGAAGGCTGGTCAAGAGTGGCAAATAAAAGGCAGGAACATCTGACAAAAACAGTGGTGCTCTAATTAGAAAAACAAAAGCTTTTAGTAAGACAACACTATGCCAAAACTTAAAAAACAAGTGATATTTTGCTTCCATGTGGCCATGAGATAAACGCTTTGTGTATTACTACTAGTTGTTACAATAGTAGCTTACGACACATCACATTAAGCTATGAATTACTTATCCAGGGCCTTTTGAATAAGACAAAATAGGCTGAGTTTGCCATTGCATGAGTCCCTAAGCCATTATTTGTGAACCCCAGTAGCTGGGTTCATACATCTTACTAAGCCTAAATTAAACCCATCTCACTGTGTCTTAGTATGATATGTGAGCCTAATCTACAAGTTTTGAGAAGGGGAAATAGTTTCCATCAGCACTGTTTTTGTTCTAAGAAAGTGGCAGGCAGACAATCCCTGGTTTCCTGTGTTTTTTTTCTTTCTTGCACAGAAAAGGTATGTGTGATGGTGATTAAACTGCTTCAGATAATTACAACAACAATAATAATAAACATCTGGCTGTGTGACCAATCATAAATAGGCTATTATTCTAACCAAAGATTGCTTCCGTATTTTAGGTTCTGTCAACATGGAAGAAGATTCAGCATATAATAATAAAGGTACACATATTAAGAGGATAAAGTTTTTTTTTAACACTAACACTCAAAATGATTTGACTTTTTTTTTCTCCTACAGTCGAAAGTGTAGTTGGCTGTCACATAGAAGATGCTGTAACCTTTTGGGCACAGGTAAGGTCAGAGTTGTGGGGAATAACGAATAGCCCTCTTAATTATGATGAGATTAAGATAATTAGTGCCTGAGGGAGATATATTATCTAAAATAGAAATTTTTGATGCTTAACTTTGGTAAAATCAATTTTTTCTAAGAATGCTTCATAAAACTCTACACATAGCATATTTTAAGTTTGAATCACTTTAGTATTTGTCATCGATTATGTGGTGTAAAAATCTTGAATGTGAATATTGATTTGGATTTCAATGTGTGTTGTTTAGAACATTAATAGGCATAATGAAATCTTGAAGACTAGCTGTGCTCTAGCTAAGATCTGTCCTCAAGCCACCCCAGTTTATGGCAATCCTGATTTTAGCAAGGTAGGTTATATACATAGTTTCTTTGCTTATGTAAACATAAAAACTTCTTGCAGGGATCATTTGAATTTTTATATTTTAACATACACTCCTAGGAAGATTTTTGAAGTAAATTGTGTGAGCTTTTGAAGAGATGTAGTGCAATAATATATTCCTGTCTTGCACCTCTGCTTTCAGTGCTTGTAAATATTGGCTAGGTTTGTACTTCATGCTAAATTATAAAATTATTTTTCTTATGGCTCAGCCCATTGTGTGAATCAGTTAATTGTGCCTTGTTCTACAAGTCATGGTGTAATCCAATATGTGAATCTGGTCCTTTAATTGTTTTAAAATGTATTCAAGTGCTGTTTTCATTTATATTTGTCAGACACTTGGAGTTGCTTATGTGTCAGGTTCAGCCCAAAGAACTCCACGAGACAGTACAGATATAGTTCTGTTGCATTTATTAGCTTCCACCTCCCTGACAGAATCTCTCCAGACTGAATCTAAACTTCCCAAGCCAGCAACCCAAACAACAGTGAATTCCTTAGGGTGGTGCCAGTCTCATCTTCTTAACCTTCCCATGCTCCTGCTGGGGGCTAAGGAAATGCTTATCTCCCCGAGTGCGGCCTTCATGCTGGGGGCTAAGGAAATGCTTATCTCCCCGAGTGCGGCCTTCATGCTGGGGGCTAAGGAAATGCTTATCTCCCCGAGTGCGGCCTTCATGCTGGGGGCTAAGGAAATGCTTATCTCCCCGAGTGCGGCCTTCATCAAACCATTCCATCACATCATGGTAGAAATGCCGAGTAAATATTTTTAAGTACAACACTGATGATATTGGCATACCACATTTAACCATAAAATAGTTAATTGCTGAATATGCCATGTTGGTGATTGGTAAGCTTCACTCATTCCTCCTGCTAGTGGACAAAGAGGAGTAGCTTGCAAACAGTTGACAAACGATGGATATGTGGCTATCTAAAAGAAGGATGTACTGTACTTTATTTCTAGTTACTGTAGAAGTATTACAACAGTGTGTACTGGTAGTCCTCACTTACCGACTGTCTTGTGCAGCGACTGAAGTTACAGCTGTGCTAAAAAAATAACTTTGTGACCAGTCCTCACATTTATGATCATCATCACATGTTTGCTATTTGCATGCTTCAACAACAGAGTTGTGACAAGCAGAGTTAACAGAGAAGGCAGAAGTAAAATCGTAACTCATGATCATATGATTTTTTTTTGGTTAGCAACTGTGGAGCTTTGCTTAACCAAAGGGGAAGTAAGGTTATAAGCCCATTGTGGTCATGTGATTTTGTGCTTAGTGACCATGGCACTTAGCGACCAAGTTGCTGGTCCCAATTGTGGTTGCTAAGTGAGGACTATCTGTAATAAAAATTGGTGGCTTAGTATGATATCATCTTGAGTTTGGGCAATTTGCTTAATTTTTACAAAACCATGAATAGATGGATGGTGTGGAAGCAACATCTTTTTGGCTGCTCACAGCAGTGTGTTTGTGCTTTAACTGTTTTGTGGTTAAGCATGCTGGGAATGGGTCCTGGATGTTGGCCCGTATATAAGAATTAAAATTTTCTATCAGGGCTGTGGAGTCAGCACATTAAAACCTTCGACTCCAACTCCTTTATTCATGGTGACTCTGACTCCTTTAATTATATATCGATATAGGAAATAAATTATGAATAAACTAATAATATATTTCCTATATCGAT